ATAAGGACACTCTATGCTATAACAAGGGTATTTTAAAACAGTAATGAAAAACTTGTTTGAGATGCAGGCAGTCCCTGGGTTATGAATGAGATCCATTCGTGTGTCTTTAATTGTATTTATAGGTAAGTCAGAACAGGTGCATACAGTTCTTATTTGTTGTTGTTATGTACCATAGAATTGGTTTTGACTCATACTGACCCTATGTGCAGCAGAATGAAGCACTGCCCAGTCCCGTGCTGTCTTCACATTCGTTGCTATGTTTCAGCCCCATGTTGCAGGAGCTGTGCCATTCCCTCTTGTTGAGGATCTTCCCTTTTTTCACTGACCCTCTAACTTTGCCAAGGATGATATCCTTCTCCGGGGGCTGGTCCCTCCTGATAACATGACCGAAGTACAAGAAGTTTGGCCATTCTCACTTCTAAATCATTCTTATTTAGACTTACTTTAGTGCAAGAAAAGGCTCGAAGCCTTTTCAATGATTTAAAAGCTGCACATGAGGCAGGTGGGGGTGATTGTGATGAAGAATTTATTGCAAGCAGGGGTTGGTTCAGTTGTTTCCAAGTGAGGGCAAACTTACACAACATTAATGTATAGAGGGCAAGTGGGAGTTTGTAAGTTGGATATTCATAGCCTGGGGACTGCCTGTAGAAACCAAATATTTAAAGTCAGGATTAACCCATAATCTAGAGTATCTGGTTGGTCCACATCAATTATAATCGGGATAATCTAAACTTAGATTTCTTTGCTTTTAGAGAAAAAAAGAGCTTCTTGTTTTGTTTTGTTATGTTTTATGTTTTCAAATATTTGTTTTAATCTTCCACACTTCAGCAGAATTAAATACATAAGGATTCAAAGTTAATAGATAGCATAGCTTGCTGAAACATTTCCAGATGTTTTCAAAACATTGGTGCAATCGTTTGTTTTTGCTTTCTATAGGAATATGATCCCCTCTTCACCCCCACACCCAAACTGGGAAAGGCTCTTTTCTAGGCATTTCCAGAGGAAATCCAAGGGAGCTGTCAAATCTTCACCAGACACATTTTTCATTTTTTTAAATGCACTTATGTCTTACATTTGAAATACTTTCCTAATTCTTGCTTTTGTGGCATCTTTCCAGTGAGTGTAAAAAAATACACATGAGCCATATATATATATGGAACTCTGGTGGCACAGTGCCTAAGGCATTTGACTGCTAACCAGAAGGCTGGCAGTTCAAATCTACCAGCCACTCCATGAAAGGAAGACCAGGCAACCTACTTCCATAAAGATTTACTGCCTTGGAAACTCAATAGGGGTTGTTATGAATTGGAATTGACTCAATGGCAGTGGGTTTGGCTTTGGGTCGTATATATATATATATATATATATATATGTGTGTGTGTGTGTGTGTGTATATGCTAACAAAACTAAATTTTCAAATAAAATACTGTATTCTAGTCAGTCTAATCAAGGGAAAGCTTTGTTTAATTAAAAATATATTTCAGAGTTTTGATTTAGACACATAAACACCATATGGTTGCATTTAACTTACTCATTGGTTTAATAAATATTTTCTGTTTATAGCTGCTTTTTCGGGGCTCACACATTTAGAAGAGTTAGACTTATCAAACAACAGTTTGCAAAACTTTGATTACGGAGTATTAGAAGACTTGTATTTTTTGAAACTTTTGTGGCTCAGAGATAACCCTTGGAGATGTGACTACAACATCCACTACCTCTACTACTGGTTAAAACACCATTACAACGTCCACTATAATGGCCTGGAGTGCAAAATGCCTGAAGAATACAAAGGGTGGTTTGTCGGAAAATATGTTCGGAGTTACTATGAAGAATGCCCCAAAGACAAGTTACCAGCATACCCTGAAACATTTGACCAGGATACTGAAGAAGACGAATGGGAAAAAATACATAGGGATCACACAGCGAAGAAACAAAGTGTAAGAATCACTATCGTGGGATAATTTCAAAATTGTTCTGGCTTTGACTGGTTTTGTAGTTGCTATACTAGTGTCAGAAAAACTTATGTTTACATTTTGATGAACTGTGTTGTGTGTTTATGCAGGTCATCTAGCTAGAAGGGGGTTTCTTTAATTATTACTATTGTGACGATTGTAGTGATCAAGGGAACACTCTCATCCTGCTTGCCTGTTTGTGGAGCAGCCTTCGGTGGTCCTCTGATTCCACACTGGTAACCTGCAGGAATTGGGTCCTAATGAAGGCATTAGTATTTCACAATGCCCTGTATAAATGTTTTTACTGCTTTTTGAAAATAATAATAATAAAAACGGTTCCATTTTGCATGCCTTTGGATGGCTGTTTGTACATACCCAAAGAGGATCAAAATGAAGATACAAATGTTTTGTCATAATGAAATGGCATCCTCCCTCTTTGTACTTCCAGTAAGTCAATTTATGTGTTGAATCTATTTCCACTTTTGCTTCCTATGAGTTCCAAAATGAGATCCTGGTAAACGCAAAATGCTCTTCCATTCTTAGCTGATCCTTGTAAGACACTGTCAGCTAGACTTGAAAGAAAATTTGTCTCAAACAAGTCAAGAATATGAGAATTATA